AACAATACCAGTTCTTAATACTTAATTAGAGATGCCAGTTGAGGTAAGAGTAATATAACATGTCCGAGATTTGCTGTAAAATACCAACAAAAAAATAAAACAAAAAGGAGTATAGTATAAATGAAACATGATCAGGAAGTAGTAACTTTTTAAGTGGGGTAATGGGTGCAGGGGGGCTTATGAATCTCTTCTCTCTGCTTTTGTGCATATTTGAAAAGGTTCATGATAAAAGTTTTAAAAAACAGAGTGAATGCTAAAACCAAAAATCTCTTCTGTGAGTTCTTACCTAATTAATATTAAAATCTAAAACTCCTCCCATGGTCTATAAAGGCCTGTGATCTGACCCTGGCTATCTCTCAGACCTTGTCTCCCTTCCTTCTTCATTCCAGCCATTCTGACCCTCTCACTTTCTTAGATTGTGCCAAGTAGAGTTTTGCCTCAGAGCGTTTGCATTTGCTTTTCCTCTGTTTAGAATTCTTTTCCTCCAAATATCCGTCTAGCTGGCTTCCTCATTTCCTTGGGACCTTTGTTCTACTTTTGCTTTAACCGAGAGGTCTGCCTTGACCACCCGACATAAAATAACCTCCTGGTCGGGCGCAGTGGCTCACGCCTGTAATCCCAGCACTTTGGGAGGCTGAGGCAGGCAGATCACCTGAGGTCGGGAGTTCGAGACCAGCCTGACCAACATGGAGAAACCCTGTCTCTACTAAAAATACAAAAAATTAGCTGGGCGTGGTGGCGTATGCCTATAATCCTAGCTACTCCAGAGGCTGATGCAGGAGAATCGCTTGAACCCGGCGGGCGGAGGTTATGGTGAGTCAAGATCATGCCATTGCATTCCAGCCTGGGCAACAAGAACGAAACTCCATCTCAAAAAATAAAATCAAATAAAATAACCTCCCTCCTCCAATCACTATCCTCACTTACTCTAAGGTACTTTTCTTAAAATTAAAAAAAAAAAAAAAAAAGTATAGGCTTGGTGCAGTGGCTCACGCCTGTAATCCCAACACTTTGGGAGGCCGAGGGGGGTGGATCACCTGAGGTCAGGAGTTTGAGATCAGCCTGGCCAAAGTGAAACTCCGTCTGTACTAAAATTACAAAAATTAGCCGGGTGTGGTGGTGGGCGCCTATAATCCCAGCTACTTGGGAGGCTGAGGCAGGAGAATCGCTTGAACCCGGGAGGTGGAGGTTACAGTGAGCCGAGATCCAGCCACTGTACTCCAGCCTGGGTAAGAGTGAGACTCTGTCTCAAAAAAGATACATGTAATTTTTATAGATTTAGGGGGTACAACTGCAGATTTCTTACCTATATATATTGCATAGTAAGATACCATCTTATGCCTATAATCCCGGCTATTTGGGAGGCTTAGGCAGGAGAATCGCTTGAACCCGGGAGGTGGAGGTTACAGTGAGCCGAGATCCAGCCACTGTACTCCAGCCTGGGTAAGAGTGAGACTCTGTCTCAAAAAAGATACATGTAATTTTTATAGATTTATGGGGTACAACTGCAGATTTTTTACCTGTATATATTGCATAGTGAGATACCATCTTGCGCCAGTCAGAATGGCCATTATTGAAAAGTTAGAAAGCAATAGATGTTGGCGAGGATGTGGGGAAAAGCGAACACTTAGCCACTGTTGGTGGGGATGTGAATTAGTACAAACTTTATGGAAAACAGCATGAGGTACTTTTCTTTCATGGCAATTACTATCATCTGATGCATTTATCTATGTGTTTATTGTCATTAATTCCCAAATTGTTAGCTCCAAGGTGGCAGGGCCTTTATCCGTTTATTGACAGTTGTATTGCCAGCACCTAGAACAGTGCCAGGCACTTGAGAAGCACTTGATAAATATTTGTGAAATAAAAATATAAAACTTGACTTAAGGTTTAATAGTTGAGTACTTCCATTCATTTCCCCAGTTCTTCCGCTTACCCTTCACTTATATTCTCATCATTACCTAGGAGCAAGTAGTGAAGGATTGATTGCCAAGAGCCTCATCGAGAACAAAACTGAAGGAAAGAACAGAAAATGTCAGGATAGTTTATTATAGGAAACATTGTAAAAGGCATATTCCAAATTTGCTAGGCTTTTAAGCATCCAATAATAGGAAAGATTTGAGTTTTCATTTTTCATTTCTTAATAGCTCTCTGAAATCTGAAATGGTCCCTTCAGACCATTAGAAAGTTGATTTTCTAATTATTTTTAAAGTATATATTACATAGAATATAGAAAAGTATGTGAAAAGTTATGGTTTTATATGACTGGAAGTTGGCAAAATGTCAGTGACTGAATTTAATGCATCACATGTCTGAGGGTCCTATTCAGTCATCAATAATGTTTGAACAAATAAACATAATTCAAGCATACTTGAATAAGTAACTCTTAATTCATGAAATATACACATATTATGTTTCTTGGTATTTTCAGATAAGTTACAGGATAAAGCTCCCCTGATAAAAATGTTACCCCAGAGTTTGCCAAATTGAATACTTACTTTATCAGTATAATCTTAGCTTTTATTGTGGTAGGAGTCAAGATACGCATTTTGTGAGCAAAGTCTCAATCTGATCCATTTTAAAAGGAAAGTTTGAATTTTTTCCCAAATATATTTTGCTTTTCTCATTTTATTTATTGCTATTCTTAATTTGCTCCCTTGTCATATCACTTATATTCATGTTTATTAATCAGGATTTTGTGGGGACGGAAGCCCAGTTAAAACTATCTTAGGCAAAGAGTAGCATTTATAATAGGGATGTTAGGTTTCTCAACTAATAACCAAAAACCATGAGCAGGGTGGGATGCATCTGGTTCTTAGGGATGATTTTGATGCTGTCAGAGCACTCTTTCAGTTTAGTTCATTCCTCTCATTGCATGTTGTCAGAAAGCATAATCCCCAGCAACTCTCTAGAGCTCTCAGAAGGATATTGTCTCTCCCTGCTCAGTTTCTGTGTAACCCTGAACCAGTCAAATGAGGTGTGAGGGATTGACTGATTCTAGCTTAGTCAGATACTCAGGAATTCAGAGTCATGTGAGAACATGAGTGTCCTCACTATAGCTGGCTGTGGATAGAGGGGATAGAAAAGGGAGACATTTACAACAGATAACACTGTTGCCTACTACTAAAGTTAGTTTGTATTATCTATGTATAATTAGACTAGAACATGGTGTTCTGCCATCTAATATAAATGTATAACAGTTACCTTGGTTTCGACAGTATTCTACTTAGCTTTGGGCTTTGCCACAGCAATGAAGTCATACTGATAGTATTACTGAGCTTTATTTTGATAAAGCTTTATTTTAATTGATAGTATTGCTGAGCTTTATTTCTAATTATTCAACTGTACCACTCAGTAAACCTGGAGGAGGAAACAGATTAATCAGAGACAGATTCTTCATTCACGGAAGATAGTGATGGTTGCAGGGAGAGAAGCATATAGCACTGTAAGCAGGAATCCTAATGCCAGAACCCAGTGCTACTACTGAAGGTTCAACTCATTTCTGTATTTGTTTGAGAAATAAAGAAGAGATTAAGAGTGGAGGCACTAGATAGAGGATTAAGGGTACTGCATTTATGTTGGATATACTCCATGACATCTGTGGATTTGTAATACCAAATTCTTTGCTTTTTACCAATGATCTTAGTGGGCAATGAGACAGATTTGCATCTATCAGCAGATAAAGATTATAGCAGGAACAATAGTTCCTATAGTTTCATTGCTACTTTTTTTCCTTCAGTCATGATATGACATTCTCTTTCACTAAACCTTCATCCACACACATACACATAATACAAAGAATTCTGCACTTTGGGAGTCCCAGAATTACTTGAGCCCAAGAGTTTGAGACCAGGCTGGGTAACATATTGAGACTTCGTCTCTACAAAAATAAGTGAAGCCAAGCATGGGGGTGCATGCCTGTTTTACTAGCTACTGGGGAGGCTGAGGCAGGAGGATCACTTGAGCCAAGGAGTGCAAAGCTGTGATGACTTAGGATTGCGCCACTGCACTCCAGCCTGGGCGACAGAGTAAGATCCTGTCTCCAAAAAAGAAAGAAAAGCAAACGAATTCTGACCTGTCCTAACCCCAGGATTCTTCCTGTTTCTTAAAAGTGTGCTTTCTGTCCATGAATCCTGATGCGTTGGGAACACTTAGTACATTTGGATCCCCATTGTACGGGGATGGAGTTCTCCATCAGTTTTGGCAGCTGTAACAGGAGCCACATTGACTGAAAGTCTCAATCTCTGGGCACTTCCACTTACAAAGGACTGTGAGTGGCCCTGTCCTGGGATGCCAGCTTGGATGCTGTAGTATTTAGAATGTAGACGTATGTTTGGAGAACATATAATAAAGAAGATTCCTATTTGACTACATATAAGTTTAATAGGGGCAGAAAAGAATGATTAAAGTCAATATCTGGCCCTAGTTGGAAAAAAATAATGTAATGGATTATTTGATTGACATGTATATGCATTGTTTCTCTCTTGTATTTGTGAGGGCATGGGAAGATAACAAAGTCTTGAATAAAGATACATGATTCCACCACCAAAGATAACTACTTTTAGCATATTGACATATATCCTTTTAGTTAATGTTTTAGATAGTTAATGTTTTGTGTATTTTTAACAAAACTGAGAACATATTTTTATATATTATTTAACACATCAGTATTTTTGACAAGGTACTTGATGTAGTAAAATAATGAGATACATGTTCAAATGTATTCTACTCAATGTAGTAAATACAGTAAGTTAATTATTACAGTAAATATTAGTACCAATAGAAAGAAATATTAGTTGACTAAACAAAGCTATAATGAAGTTTAAAAATCTGGACTTTTTATATTCTTAGATAAATTTTGTTGTTCTTTTTTTATAAATATAACTATATGTTAGAGATTTGAAAGTTGCTCTTGAGGAAATAAATGCTTTTATGCTACTATATTAATTCAATCATAGAGTTAATTGTGTTTTTAAAAGTTATTCTGTTTTCCTTCCCAGGTCCAAGTATTTTAGAACATGCTCAAGAGGTGAGCACTTAACAATAGAGGTAAGTAGTCGTTAATTTGATTGGATTAAAAGTGCCTGCAGAAAGGCAGAAGGGGCTTTTGGTTGTAAAGAGGGAAAGATCTGGACCCAAATTTAGAATGAACTGTTTATATTTCAATAGTATTCATGTTAGTGAAGATTGAAAGAGTTGGAGCAGTGGGGAAGGAATGAATAGGAAGAAGTTTGCAGAGGATTATGGTTCTGTTTTTCTAATAGCTTTCCCCCCACCCTACATAAGTCAGGGAGAAGGTACTCTTCTGTCAGTAATAGTGGCTCACTAGGGCAGTGGGTATAATGAGAGGTGGTTGGCCTGCCCTAGCAGGGAAAGTCCAGAAACAAAGCAGGAAGTTGAGTTTCAGTAACTCCACAGCAGAATCACCGAGTCACTTTTTCTTTGAATGTAAAATATAATAATGGAAACTAGCATTTATTCCTTACCTATTGTATAAACTAGCCACTCTACCGTACAAATTAAGAATGTCATCACAACTCTGTTGTAAACAGGTGGTGGTCACCCTGTTTCATGGATGAAAAATGAGACTTAGACAGGTGGAGAAATTGGGCCATATTACACAACCTGTAAGTGGCAAAACCTAAATTCTAGTCCACACTGCCTGGCTCCAAAGCTTGAACACTGTACTTCATGACCTTCTGTATTAATAAGGAAACGTGTAAGGCAGGAATAAGATATTTAAAAATCACAAACCAATATAAAAATAAGATAAGGATAATAACTTTAACAGTTTTATTCTCTTTTTAGAGAGATTCCTTAATTTTCTAAACCTTTTGAATTCATTGTTTCCTCTCAATCTTTAAACCAAACAGTATTAACAATAAAACACCTTTTCTTTCAGGTGGTTACTTATCAAGTTATTTATATTTAAAATGCAGACATTTTAGTGATATAATAGTAATGACTTTCATTAGGTCACTGACACAATAGTATTAATCACATTATGATCAAACTGTTTACATTCCTATCTCTAGAAAGACATTGTATTTGGGGATAGTAACTACCATTTAGTAGATTTTCAGTAAATAACTATATGAATGAATAAATGAATAAATATAAACATGTTGGGAAATTCTTATTTGGGTATCTTTTAGTCCCCATTCCTTAAATAATTTTCCTTCTTATGACATTTGTTCTGAAGTCAAGTGAAGTGGAATATTCTGGTAGCATGGACTGAAAATACTTGTATGAAATACTCGTTTCAGATGAAACTTTTAGTTCTGATTTATGTAGAAAATTGCTTAATTCTCCTGTTTGATTTTCATTCATAGAAAGTCATAAATTAAAATAGTATATGCTTGCCTTGGCCATTTTGTAGGACTGTTGAATATATCAAATGAAATGATGTATTAAAGAGGCATTTGAATTAAATATCTTACAAATATAAAGATATATTATTTTTAAGTGAAAAAAGTAACATAATTTCTTGTGAGATGTATACGTAAGACAAATATTCCTCCTAACACTTACTTTTTTGTCCTTTCAGTTTGAGAATCTAGTAGAAAGTGATGAAGTAAGTATTTCCATAATAGTACAAAACTTGTATTTTTCTGATTGATCATCTCATTAGTTCTAACAATTGTGTTTACAATTTTTATTTTTGTTTTAGAATTTTTATTTTCTAGTTTTTATTTTTACTTTTTAGTTCTTTATTATTTCCTTGTTTTACTAATTTATATTAGAAAATAATTCCAAATACTAAGATACACTATACACACACATAGGTTTAAAGCATTATACAGAAACCCGAGGAACTTCAGAAAGTTTACTTCTAATATTTCTAACCTCTTGAATAGATAGGTAAAATACTTCACAATCCAAAGTAGACCCATTGTTTTCTTGTTGTTGCTGTTGTTTTCTTTTTAAGAGACAAGATCTCGGTATGTTGCCCAGACTGGACTAAAACTCCTGGGCTTGAGCAGTCCTCCTGCTTCAGCTGAGTAGCTGGGACCATCGGTGTGTACCACTTCACCCAACTTTGGAGTAGGCCCATTCTTTATAGTTTTCATAGATTCTGATGTCAGATTTTATACATATTTATTCTACAGTTTCTGACTTTAGCCATCATCTCTTTTATCAGTTATTCTTTATGTTAATTTTCTACATTTCATCTCATAAAACTCAACAAGTTTTAAGATGCTTCTCAAATACAGAAGTGTTAAAAATATGAAGGGAGTGCATTTTATAATCAGCAAAATGTGGTGTATATTTCAACATTTGATCTTAGTCAAAAGGCTAAGAAGCATTTCTTATGCATTGGTATAGTTAGAACTTTAGTTTGTATGCTAATTTGCAACTTCACTAAATTAATTGTGTACGTTTCTGCAAATTACTTAACCTCCCTGGGTCTACTTTCTACATCTTGAAAATTGGTTAGTCTAGAAGAACACTGCAAGTTGACACTTTGTCATTTTTGTTTTCTAGGGAAAGAAGAAAATGTGTTAATCTTTTCCTTTAAAAATGTATTATTTAGTCCAGCCTTTCTCGAGTATGTATAGAATACTAGTCTTAGAATGTAAGTTAGCATGTAAAAGGTTCTGAGATAAACTATTGTTAAACTGAATTACTTAAACTTGTTCAACTCAGCTATTCTCAAATTAATGTGGGTAAAAATCCTTTTTTAAAATAATAATACATATTTTTCATCTGATAGGACACATTTTGGAAACTATTTTAGCCGTTTGTTCTCCCAGTAAAATATCATTCCATTTCATAGAACTAACTTCTTTTCCTTTGCAAAGGTCGCTTTTGTTTTCATGTCCTTCTCTTTAAAAGTTTAAGCAAACACTGGACATGATATTTTTAAAGCATCTGACAAGTGTTAAAAGTAAGCGTTCTTTCAGCCTCCATTAGAATTCATCCCAGCATCATAACACTTTTCAAGAGAACTAGTGATTCCGTGTATTTTCCCAAGATGCTTTTTGTTTGGTTGGCTGAGGATTTTTTTGTTTACTTTTGTTTTTGCTAACCCCTCTTCTCCTCTCTCATTTACTTCATATTTTGTGTTTGGTTTAGTTGAATGTCATCCTGTTTTGTAGTGCTACTTTCTAAACTAATGTGGACCGTTTGGATTTTTATTCCTGCTATTATATTTTAACTTTCAGATATGAATAGTTTAAATGTGTAAGAAGTAGGCATAAACCTGAAAAAATCCTGAAAATAGTTATACTTTGCTTTGGAGGAAAAAACTACAGATAATTTCATAACCTTGTGAAAGAAAACAAAAAGTTGATTCTCATTATTGTAATTATGTTTGATTAAGTTGCTGTAAATGCTAAATTAGTGAATGCTGAAGCATTACTGCAGGGGAAATACAGGGTTAGGTTCCTGCAAGCCTCTGATCACAATGTGTTCATCAACCAATCAGTATATAGCCTCATTCGATGTATGTTTCTGTGTAAGATACCGTATTAAACATATATTATTGATTCATTAACTTTAAACTCGCAGCCAGTAGCACAAATTCATGCTTGTATGAAGCTTACCTAACGCACATATTTTCCCCATAATGCACATCATAGCTTTCTTGGCCTTTAGGAACACTGGAATACTTAGTATTCTACACTTGGAGGCCATTTTAGACAGAAATCACCAGCCAAAAAGCACAAAAATGCAAACAATGTGGCACTAAATAGACTGTAAAAAAGATACTTGTTTATAGCCTGAGAGCTGAAACAAGAAAGCAGAGTGTCTGTTGCCCTGTTCTACTTCATCTGGGAATGTGCATTGCTGAGCAACTCAAAATTTTTACTGCTCCATGCCTGTCCTTGAATAACCTAGAAAGCTCAAAGAGTATTGATTTTGTGGTTACAAGTAAATTTTCCAAGTAGGCAAATTTGCAAATACAGAAACTGCAAAAAAATGAGGATCAACTGTTAATATAAATGAGAACATAGAGAATATGTTGTCTAATACTATCCTGACTCCAGTTCATTTGGTATGTAACAAATATTTGTTTAAAAAAATTAAGAAATGTCCAGCAAATGATTTTATGTACTTAAGCTAGATAGTAAACTAAATTTTGCTATGGAGAAGTAGCAAACTTTTAAAACTTTTTGTTTCAAGTATGTTTAATAGTGAAATATATTTAATAGTGAAATGTATTTACTCTGATGAAAATGGACAAGTTGAAAGTATTTAGACTGAATAAAAATTGTATTGATTACTTTAAATAGAATTTAGCTAATTTATTTTAATTGTTTAATTAATTTTTGTACAGGGGGAGAGCCCAGGAAGCAGTCATAGGTAAGGCTTTGTTTAAAAAAAAAAAAAAAAAAAAAAACTTCTATGCGAACTGTAAGAAAACTCTCTTAAGAAGTCATGCTTTATCATTTGCTTGCTTTGAGACGTTAAACAGTTTACATTTCAGAACTTTTAGTTTTTTCTTTCTATAAGATTGAGACAAATATATCTCAAAAGGACTGTTTTGAATATTAAAGAATTTAATGTAAGTGCCTAGATGCTTTCCTGTTGTACCTGTTATATGTTTTTTAGTTTTCTTAAAACCATTAGTATTGATAAGTACATTTCTTTTAAATTTTTTAACTTTATTACCCCTTTCCTTCTTTATGCATTCTAAAACTTGTTCTTCTAAATTTTTTCACATCTTTTAATAGTAACTAAAACCTTGTACTATAATTATTTAAGCAGCTTTTAAATATTTTATTAAAATTGCATGTATTAAGTATCTTTAAGTCAAAAGAGCGTTCTTAATTTCAAGAGAGTATTTTCATATACAGTGTTACATTATGAACATATAATCCTTACTTTTTTTAGTTTAGCAAACATTTATTAAGCAACTGTCATGTGCCAAGCACCGTGCTAGACACTGGGATTTTAAAAATCAGACATAGTCTCTCCATTAGAAGAAAGAACATCCTGGTCTGGGAGATAGATTCTTGAGATGACTAATTTCAATATGAGGTAGGGAAAGCAATTAAATAGTGATTATAGAACATTCTATAGAACTGTAGAGAAGAGGCTGTTGGTCCAAAACAGCTTCTTGACTGGAGAGATAAATCCAAGAAGACATTTTTAAGGGGATAACACCTGGTGTTGATTGTTGAAGGGTTGGTTAGTGCTAAGTATCCAGGCAGAGCAGGAGGACATTCCAGACAGAAGAAATTGCATAAGCAAAGTGAGAGAACTGATTGTAAAGGGGCACAAGAGAAGTATGTGAAGTGATGGAAATGTCACATATCTTGCTTCCAGTGGAAGTTACATGAGTGTATACAAGTATTAAAACTTTATGAACTGAACACTTCAAATCTGTATTTCATTTTATTTCAGTTATATTTCAAAGAAAAAATTTTAAAGCCCTAATATATAACTAGGGCTAGCAGAAGTTAGAGCTGGAGGGATGGAAGTAGGAGATAATACCTATAAATGGCTAGTTAACCATGATAGTTACCAAGATCACCTAACTGAGGTGGGGGTCTGGGGAGAGGTGGAGCATGGTGAGAGAGCAGTGATCTGAGGATTGACTAGGCGGACACTAGAAGAGGATTCTGAAGATGACCAAGAAGTAGTAGGCAAAAAGAAGAATCAGGAGAGCTTGGGAAGCCAAGGGAGGGGAGACAGACAGATGGGAATGGTTAACACTGTCCCATGAAACTGAGGTAGTAAGATAAGGACTTAAAATTGTCTACTGTATTTGGCAACATAGAATCCATTGATTACCTTTGCTAGAGTTATTGGAGTGATGGGAGCAGAGGTAGACTGCAGCGAGTTGACAAGTGAATGGGAGGTAAGGACATGAAGGCAAGAGAAGAACACTAGTTGTAGTTAAGAACAAGAGCTACACTACCTGGGGTTCAGATTCTAGCTTTGCCACATACTATAGGACTTACTTAGCCATACTCTTCATCTGTCTTCCTCTCACTTCCCTCATATGTATAATCCTTATAGCTACCTTGGAGGGTTGTTGTGAAGATTACAATTTGTTAATATATGTGAAACATTTAGAAGAGAGCCAGGCACATAGTAAGTGCTAGATGTGCTGACTATTGATATACATTTAATTTCAGGACTTGGCTGAAAGAAAGAGGGAGCAGTAGCTTGAGATAGATACAGGTCAAATGGAGGTTTTTTTCTTAGTTCCTCCCTCCCCCCTCCCTCCCTCATTTCCTCCTTTCCTTCCTTCCCATGGAAGAGAGGTGCAAACAGACAAAAGGAATAGGTTAAAGGTGAAAGAGAGGTACTAATTGATAGAACAAGGTCCCAGATAATTCTCTGGAGTGGGTCAGGAGAGATGGGCTCAATGGTGAATGAATCAAGAATGTAAATGTAGTAGGTGATTCTGAACAAGTTAAGAACATTCCTCTTTAGAGGATGGTGAGGAGAATAGGAAGGATATATGTAAGTAAGTGGGGGTTGTCACAAAGTTGGGGTGATTCATGGTTGATACTCCTCATTTCTTAAAGTGGAGTGAAATTGCCTTTTAGGAGAAAAAAAGTATGAATAAGGAACTTGAGTATGTGAAGATTTTTAATTTGGTAGTATAGGATATGTGAAGGAGTTGCCACATGTATGTAAAAGGACTACTGCTGAGGGCCGAGTGCCAAATTGATGTCAGTTTTCTCTAGCAGCCTGAAACAGAAAGGGCTGATCATGGAAATGACCCAGGGTCAGAATGTGAGTAAACTGAGTGAATATGGAATAATGATAGGAGTGCAAGAAGGTGAGTATGTTGGTAAGAAAGTAGTTCAGATCTGCCTTGGTGTCCATCTTGGTTGTAAGTAAAGCAAGGCCAGAAGATGATTGGGATAGACAGACTGGAAGAAAAGGGAAGGATGAAGGGCCTGGGGAAGCCAGAGTGATTTAGGAGGATTAAGAAGAGTTCCAGAATGGTATGAGGGCTGAGATCAGGGTGTAATAGTATACCAACGTTTATATTTTATGATGAGCATTTTGGGATAGGGTTTAGGGTATATACCCATAGGTCAGATGGCTGAAGCAGAGCCAGATGAAGGTAAATAAAATCCGTATTTCTTAAAAGGTGGCTGTAATGCTTTAAAAACTATTCTGATATTGTATCAACTTACCAATTTATATACTAGAATAATAGCAAATGTTAGAATGTATACTTTTTACTCTTAACAATTGAAGTTGTAGCAAATTGCTTTAACATTTTTAACAGCAAAATTTGAGAATTTCACTGGCTTTTTGAGTGTTTTATTTGGACTCAGACTCATCAGAAGTTTTTGGTTTTTCTTTTCCTCCTCCTCCTTTTTTTCTCTAGGCCTCTTACTGAGGAAGAAATTGTTGACCTAAGAGAAAGGCATTATGATTCCATTGCCGAAAAACAAAAAGATCTTGATAAGAAAATTCAAAAAGAGGTAAATAGTCTTTTAAATTGCTTAAGTACATGTTATCATAAAGGAGAGAGTTGTCATTAGATAATATGTTGTGTAGAGTCATTGAACCTATATTTAGATATATACAGATGAATATGATTTAAAAGTTAAAAAATCATTCCAGCCTATTATAATTTCTTTTGAGTTTGGCTTAATTTATCAGAAATCATATGCTGCCAAAAAATGGAGATAGTACATTCTTTTAAAAACAACTTCTTAATTCACAAAGTAGGAACTCTGGCAAGAATATGCACCTTGGTATTTAAAACCAACTTTTAGAGCAGGCTCAGACCTGTAATCCCAGCACGTTTAGTGGCCGAGGCAGGTGCATTGCTTGAGCCCAAGAAGTGGAGACCAGCCTGAGCAACATGGCGAAGCCCCATCTCTACAAAAAATACAATATTAGCCTGGTATGGGGGTGCACGCCTGTGGTCCCAGCTACTTGGGAGGCTGAGGTGGGAGGATTGCTTGAGCCAGAGAGGTCAAGGCTGCAGTGAGCCAAGATCATGCCATTGCACTCCAGCCTGGGCAACAGAGTGAGACCCTGTCTCAAAAAGGAAACAACAACAAAAAGCAAATTTAAAAAAAATTACCCTGTTTCACAATAAGTGGTTTTTTGAAGAGTTTTTTGTCTTGGTGGGTATGTATTCTCAGAGAACTAAGTACTGATAATCATAAGTGTTAAAGTTATTTAATGTGTTTATGGAAATGGCCTATAATTATTGTTTTGTACCCACTAAACTAAATGGAATTATTCACATTCCACTGCACATTTAAAAATTTTCTGTTTAAGACCGGACATGGTGGCCATAGTTCCAGCACTTTGGGAGACTGAGGTGGACAGATCACTTAAGGCCGGGAATTTGAGACCAGCCTGGGCAGCACGGTGAAAATCCATCTCTAAAAAAAAGTACAAAAATTAGCCGGGCATGGTAGCATGCACCTGTAATCCCAGCTACTAAGGAGGCTGAAGTGGGAAGATTGCTTGAGCCCAGGATCCTCAAGGCTTTGGGAGGTCGAAGGGGAGCCACTACACTCCAGCCTGGGTGACAGAGCAAGACCCTGTCTCAGAAAAAAAATTAATACACACACACATACATACACACATATACATATATTTGTCTGTTTAAAGTGGGTATGGTGGCTCACGCCTGTAGTGCCAGCACTTTGGAGGCCAAGATGGGCAGATTACTTGAGTCTAGGAGTTAAAAACCAGCCTGAGCAACTTGGCAAGGCCTCATCTCTGCAAGAAATACAAAAATTCACCTGGGGTGGTGGTGCACACCTGTAGTCCCAGCTACTCTGGAGGCTGAGGTGGGAGAATGGCTTGAGCCCAGGAGGTCAAGGCTGCAGTGTTGGTGCCATGGTACTCCAGCCTGGGTGACAGAATAACACCGTCTCAAAAAGAAAAGTATGTTTAGGACCAATTAGTGATTTCCAAAGCATTAACGTAAGCTGTACAGTAGCTGTTAATAGTCTAAAGAAAAAAATTTGTGTTGAAATTTGATTTTCAAGTTAACTTTAACATGCAATAGATACTACTAAAGCAGTTTGTGTGCTCTTATGAATGGCAAGAACTTACATTTGAAAGTAATTTTTTAATAGTTTGATAGTAATAAAATTAAGGAGACATGTGCATTGATGTTAATTAGATGACAAGACATGAATTTTGTGAAAGCTGAGTTCACTTTGGTCAACAGTGATGTAATTGATCTTAAAGGTACTGGATTTATGAGGGCCAAAACTGTCAAACTAGTGAGGGTGATAGGTGTTGGAATGATTGTTTAAAATGAAGATCACTGCATATTCTAAAGAAATACTTTATGCAGAGTAGATGCTACTGCTTCATGACTCAATTTCTAAAGAATCCTGTAATGTGTTTTATATCCTTTGGGTTATTTTGTAAAAGAAGAAATTTAAACAAACAATTGCAAACATTTCAATTCTGTTATGCTTTGTAGAGATCAATTATTTTTTAATAATTTATTTTTTGTTTTATAAATAGAAGCATTTTATTTTTAGAGCAGTTAGACAGGTTCTGATTTTTGTTAATCCTTATTGTTTTGTTCATGTACAGTTAGCCTTACAAGAAGAGAAGTTAAGACTAGAAGAAGAAGCTTTATACGCTGCACAGCGTGAAGCAGCCAGGGCAGCAAAGCAGCGAAAGCTCTTGGAGGTGAGGGGAAAAGACCCCAGCATATATTAGGGTTGCTTTTCTCCTTATTTGCTCTAACAAATCTTAGTTGGGACTTTTTTTTTCCTATTCTCAAGGACTTCTTGTTTAAAAATGAATGTATTTACTCATATATTCTTAAGAATTTTCAAGGCAAATTAGTCAGTCTTTAACAGCTAGAAATAATATCAGATTACATGCTTGATACTCAGTGCTGTTTAGCTTTAGATTAGCAAATGCTGATTCCTGTTTATCCTAAAGATGAATTTTAGTGCTATAAAACTCAGTATTCTTTTGGAAAAATTAAATATACTCTTAGAGGGAAAGTGTTGCCAAACTAGCCTTTAAATATAATTGGCAAAGCATTTTGTTTTGTGAGGGTTTTTTTTTTTTTTTTAACAGTTTCTTAAATTACCAGAATTTATTTTATTCCCTGGAACTGGATAAACTGTGCTGTTTTGCCCCATAAGGTTATTATTTGCTTCTCATCTTTATTCTTGTGTCCTTGGGAGATTGGGAGTTTGGGTCTTGAGAAATATTTGGTATATTATCAGGGAAGGCAGCAGATTTACCGTATCTTACCATGCTGCATTACCATAATGTCTGGCAACTATAAGTAACATTTATGGAACCCTAACTGTTAGGAGGAGCAATGTTTTACCTTATTTAATCCTCACAACAGTCTTACGAGATAGTATTTTTAATCCCTGTTTTACAAATGAGAAAACTGAGAGTAGGATAATGTTTTGTAACTTGCTTGAGATCCTACAGTTAATAAGGGCCAGAGCCAAAGTTCAAGCACAACAGTGCTTAGCCGGTATCCTTAATATCTTCCTCCATATTTTGCCTGTTTGGATTCACCTCTGTAGTGTTAATTGAAGTAGTATAAAGATCATGGCACATTGTAAAACTTAGAGAAACTGAAATATCATGTGTATCCTATTGTTACATGATTTCTGTGTGAACTGTGTCCTTCCCCTCTCCTTCCCTTCATTTTTTTTTTCTCTCTCTGCTGTTTTAGCAGATTATATGAAGGAATATCTTTGCTTTTTAAGTCAGTTCTAAATAATGAACAAGTTTTTAACTTTTACCTTCTACTAAGAAAAGTATTTTTCTGGTTATCATATAGACACTCTTTTTACTGTAATAGATGATCTACTGCTTCCCTTTTAAAGACAAAGCATTCCATATACAGCATCCATATGGGTGATTTCCAGGGTTCTCTGAGTTTTTCCTACCCTGGTTTAAATATTTGATATAGGAACACATTACAGTCTATACAGTATATACTGACACACAGACATACACAGACACCCACCAATCATTTGATTTTCATGGTAACCCTGAGCTTGCTAGAGCAGTAATATAGCTATCTATATTTTATAGATGAAGGAACAGTAGGTAGAGGCCATGCCAGGGATACATAGCTAATAGCTATCAGAGCGACAACTCTGACATTTCTTCTAAATCTTAGTCAATTGCTTTTATTATTTCTGAGTCAACTCAGCCAGATCTTATAAATCTGTTGTTTTATTGCTACTTATTTCACCCAGAATAGAACTTCATGTATTGTTTTAACTATTCCTTTTCTGCTCCTCATTTTTCCAGTAGGTTGAAAGTTCTTGGGTATACTAAGAATGTTAAGAATATCAATACATATCTGTTAAAATAAGGAAAAATATGTCAACAGAATAACTTTTTTTTTTTTTAGAAACTAGAAAAAAATACTTTTTGGTATTGCATGAGTGGTTTTAAAATACATAATTTTACAACAGAGTGATTTTTTTTATTACATTATGTTTCCAAAGCAAGAAAGGCAGAGAATTGTGCAGCAATATCATCCTTCCAACAATGGAGAATATCAAAGGTAAATAATGAAACATATGCCTCCTTCCCTTTGTGGTAGAACATTTTATTGCCACGTAGAGCATTGTTCACCTCGAGATGTGTATATACGTATTCATGTTTATGTGTTCCCTAAAAATTATTCCATCTAAAAGACATTGCCTTGGAAGAATACTGAGAGCATTTAAGTTGAAACATGATTATTATTCATTTAAACTGACTTTATTGCATTTTTAAGAGTGGTCTCATTTCCCATATAGATGTAATACCATAGCTGAATGTCTTTGGGTGAGTTATTTATTTATACCTTAGTTGTTTGTGTCTTCTTTAGTCCCTCTCTTTCTTACAATAAAGTTTATGTGTGGTCATTTTTTGGAAGAGAGATTTCAGCGTCACATTTCCACAAGTATCACTACTCGTTCAAAGAATTTTGTTCATGCTTCATTATTGTAAAGTTAGACTTATGGCTAAGCTTTGGAGATTGGATTTCAAGATTAACCAAAATCTTCTTATTTTCAGTTTCATGCTAGTATTAAGAAAATTAAGAACTCTTTTCATTAGGTTATTCTAATTGTGTAGCAGTTATGAATTTGTATGACATAGGTCTTCAAGCCAAAATGCCATCATTAGCTTAAATATTTGTTATATTGCATCTACCATGAATATATTAAAAAATTATTTCACTTTTATTACAGTTCAGGACCAGAAGATGACTTTGAATCTTGTTTGAGAAATATAAAGTCACAGTATGAAGTTTTTCGAAGTAGTAGTAAGTTTTTTAAAGTATTTTCTGTACTTTTTTTTATGCCACAGTAAACAGATAAGTAGAGATTCTGGCTGTGTTTCTGTAGAATAACTTTCTGTTCTTAAATTTGTAAGTCCCAGATAGGTCAGTTTCCTAGGTAGTCATTAATGATACAACCTCATCTTTTCTTTTTAAAAAGAAGTTGGAGCAAAGAAAAATCTCAGACTGTTTCTGTAGATCCATATAAGGAGTCAAGCACTCCTTTTTCCATTTCTACCGTGATCCTAACCCTTTCCTTTCCAAAAAAAAAGAAAGGAAAGATGGGAGGAAGTAATAGAAAAGTGTACTTTTTACTTATTACAAATTGACTTATAAGATTAAAATATTTCCTCAAGTTTCAAAAGCAAAAACTCATATGCTTCCCAATAGTGGAAGCATAGTATAGTAGTGGGTCTTTTTGAAAATATAGGTTGCTTTTTGTTTTATCTTTCTTGTTCATCGTTTTTTTGTGCCCCTTTGTAATTGACTGTTAAAAATATTATCTAGAGTTCACCATATTTGAAAAGTTTATAATCACTTAAATTTGCATGTTTGCTATGCTTAGATGGCAGAAAAAAAAGAGACAAAAGTTTCTTTATACTGTTCCTAACAGAAACTTACCAATAAAATGATTTCCAGAATTATTTCTTATGAAGCTAAAAGTAATAATAATAATATTTAGAGAGAGATAATTGTTACAAAATAAAATGGCTGTTGTGGTAGAAGAGTAGATGAGAGTATTCAGTTGTATTTTATGTATACTCTAGGACTCTCATCAGATGCTACAGTTTTGACACCAAATACAGAAAGCAGTTGTGATTTAATGACCAAAACTAAATCAACTAGTGGAAATGACGACAGCACATCCTTAGATCTAGAGTGGGAAGATGAAGAAGGTATTTTATAATTCACAATTTTACCTGAAAAATTTAACGTAATCTGTGTTGATTTATATAAATCTACCTTGGTCTTTATTTAAATGGAAATAAATTCAAGCCCTTGAAAAATCATATAAACACTTTTTAGACTGTTATTGGTGATTATCACTGTTGATAAAAATGTTTAGAAAATTCCTTAATTTTTAATGTTCCTTTAGATTTAGAAAACAAATGTTAATTTCTTTAAGGTTTTGTAATCCAAGCCCATGACATTACTCCGTATGAATGATTACTACCCCCTTGTGGACATTCTAAAGCCGGAAGTTAAATATAACTTCTCTTAGAAATAAATCCACAGAAACAAATTCACCAGATACAAATCTACAAAATTATATTAGTATCTAGCTCATATTTTTATCATATCTATAGAAATAACTTGTGTTACTTGGTTGAGTCCTGGTGATTTTTCAGGAGTGACAGACAACGGTGATACAGATTTAAATGTTCTTTTATGGTGGGATCTGATCTTTAAGGTCAAAAAAGAAAATCATTAAATGTGTCTAGGAATATCACAATCTCTTTGCGAATCCTAGATTTTAATTCAATTACCAACGTTGATTCTGTACTTACAGATTCAAACTTCTTTTCTGTCCTCTCTCCCTTCCTTCTGCCAGTAAAATGCCGTTCTTTTTTTCTTTCAAGATTATTGACACTTCACTTTACCAATTTCATTTTGTTTCGAATTAGATCTAGAACAGTTTCCCATAGAAACGTCTCTCCTCTGTTTGGTAGAGTCGGAAGAGCATAAGACCACAGACTTTGGAGCCAGACTGAATGGATTAAAATTCTTGCTTCACCACTTTTTAGCTGTGTGACATTACCCAAATCACTTAGCCTTTCTGTCCCGGTTAGCTGAACTATAGAATGAGAATAATGATAGTACTGTACTCCATAGAGTTGTTGGGGATTAAATCAGTTAATATCTGTGACATGTATATAACATTAACTGGAACCTAGTAAATGCTGGAAAAGTACATGTTATCATTAGAGTGACTGTCATTCTCTGGGAAATGAAATTATGTGGGTAGGAAAGGACTTTGGCAGACATACTAACTTGGCCATATAAGACTAATAGCAATTGAAGTCCTCCATCCATTCTGTTTTATTTATGACTCTTCAGGAATTTCATCCTATCAGATAATAAATGATACATCAAAACTGCCCTTTGGTGACTGTTAATATTTATTTTTATCTGAGGCATACTTCAGGGTTAGACCCCAACAATTTCCCTTAAGAAGACCTCCATGGGACTGGGTCTTTAATTCACACATCAAGTCTGATAGTTAAATAAAAACTATATTGCTAAACTTGGAAGTTTTTAAATATAGCTTTATTATCTGTTCTGAGATTTCTAAAAACTCTGTTCAAATCATAGGAATGAATAGAATGCTTCCAGTGAGAGAACGTTCCAAAACAGAGGAAGACATTCTACGGGCAGCACTTAAGTATAGCAACAAGAAGACTGGAAGTAATCCTACATCAGCCTCTGATGATTCCAATGGGCTGGAGTGGGAGAATGATTTTGTTAGTGCCGAAATGGATGATAATGGAAATTCCGAGTATTCTGGATTTGTAAATCCTGTATTAGAACTGTCTGATTCTGGCATAAGGCATTCTGACACAGATCAACAGACTCGATAGGGTAAATTGTGTGACCTTGTTTATCAGTTATGACCAAATGTTAAAAACCAACTAGAATGTATAAGTGATTGTGCTGAGCCTTTTTGTAAGGGAGATGTGTAAGAAACCATGTTGTAAATGCTTATTTTATTAGAAAGGAGTAGGGATGATAGGATCTGAATTGATACAGAATTAAGTGCAATTTCATCATCTGCCTTCTGCTTTTCAAGACCAATTTAATGGTCCTGTCATGTTACCAATTAAATTTACTTTAAGTCTTTTCTTTATAGCATTTCTGTTTACTATGGTAGATTTCCACTCTCCATTTTTTTAATTAATTTTACTTTGAATGATTTATGAAGCCTATTCATTGTCTTTAACTATGAAAACATTAAGACTTTTTTTGTTAATTCTCAGCAGATGTGAAGGAAGCATGAGGAGGGATCGTCAGATTCAGATTTAGAATAGTGTTCCCTTTTCCAGCATTATTTCTATGACTTCTTTGGATTTTATTATCTAATAATCAGTACAGTTGATTTGAGTAGATGACTCTAAGAAATGCAGAAGTATCAGCATTACATGTCCTTATTTACATGTCCTAGTATGATAATGTTGATTCAATCTGAACAAAAGATAATATAAAAATAACCCTTCAGAGTTTGGACATTTCAAGTTGGTAATAATAAAAAATAATACTTAAGAAGATATATATATATATATATTTAGTTTTTTCCACTTCATTTTACATGCCACTATATTGACTTTAATTGATATATAGTATTAAGTTTTTAGGTGCCATTATTTTTTAAAAATTCTATATTTCCAATGAATGATCTTAGATTTTACACAGAACATATTCTCTGCATGATTTAAGAAAGGAAGATCTAAAAAGGTAATACGGGTATTTCAAATAAAATCCTTTCTGGTATGAAAGGCTCCATTGATTTTATTAAGCTTTCATTTACCTTGTAGTACAAGGTGCTTTAATGGGATAGAACTAAGCATATCAATATCTATAACTGCATTTTGTTATAGACAATCAACTATTCTTTTCTCTAAAATGTATGTGTCAATTTAAAAGGCCAGGAATAGAAAACACTCCATAATTGCTTTCCTTGATTTTGCTGAGGATTTGGTATGATTTTAGTAATAAACTGTTTTTTGGTTTTTCCTTAATGTTTTTAAATTTTTTTCCTCTTGCAACAATGACAGTGCATGTTCTTATAAATATAGGAAGGTCCAGATATAAATAGTAACCTGAAGTTCTTGCTGTACTTAAAAAAAAATCATGTGGCCCTTTCAATATTTGAACTGCTAAGCAATGACATCTGTAGTTTTATCTCCTTTTTTATGTCATAGAAATTAATATGATACTTTAAATATGTAAATATAATACATTAGGTAATGCCATTATTTATATCTGTCTTAATTTAAGTTGTAGCTGTGTCTTGGAAATATTTTTAAGGTAATCTATATTCACATTGCCTGTGTTAATGCTTTTTAAAGTTTGTATACATCAGATGTATATTTTTGGTTTGGCATAAGCTACTATTGTAATTTTTCTTGGCTTTTTGTTCATAAAGAATTTTTTGAAGGAATGGTAACAAATGGTAATTTACAAATGGTTGTGAATAAACACATTTTTACACTTAAAGGTAGTAAGTTATTTGACTATTATTGGTTTTACTCCATAAACATGCAGGTATTCTGATTCCTGACTTGTAATTATTTTATTAAATCTGATGTGAAGACAAAAAGAAGTAAATTAAGAAAGCAAGATGGAACTAAACTTGAAAATGTGTTTTGATTGTTAAAAAAAGTTAACGTTTTGTGTTTATAAAAAGTACTAGAAATAATTTATTCAGCAAATATTGGAATAGTATTAATATTGGAACTGTGTCTGGTGGGTGTTAGGGACATAGAAGTACAAAGACATATAAGGTCTCTGCTCTTTGCTTACCATTCTAGTGAGAGAGATAGACAATAATAAGTAAACATATATGTAAGAAAATCACAGGTCACAGTTAGAAAATATACAAGATTATAGGAGAGAGAGTAACTGGGGGCCAATTGACTACTTCTCATAGGTCAGGAGAATCCTCTCTGAGGAGATACCTTGGCTAAAACTTAATTGTTTTAAGTTTTAATTGTCAACTTGGCTAAAACCTAATTGTTAAGCAGGAACCAGTCAAGTAAAAAAGCCTGTTGTGAAGCATGTTATCAGCAAAGGGTACAGCAAGTACAGAGTACCTGAGGTGAAAAAGAGTTTGTTATGTTCTGTGAATAAAAAGACCACTGGGAATGAAGCATCATGAGTGAGGGAGAAGAGTGGTATGAGATGATACTGGAGTGATAGTTAAGGGCTAGATGATGCAAGACCTTGTAGGCCAAGAATGAGTTTTATTTGATGTGTAATAGAAAGCTACTGACATTTTTTGTAAGCAAGGATGTACAGTCATCATATACACATTTTCAAAAGATTACTTTAGTTGCTGTGTAGAGAATGGATTGTAAGAAGGCAAGAGTGGATGTATAGCATTCCCAGTGGAATATAGTGTGCCTTGGGTTTACAATGGCTTTGAAAAGGCAGAGCAGATTTTAGAGGTAGAATCATCAGGATTTTCTGGTGGGTTGGATATAAGACTAAAGAAAGGGGTAGAATCAGATACTACTGTAGGCACGGTGCCGTGGCTACCTTGCTCACTCCACATAGTCCACGTAGGCAGAACTCAACCACAGTCTAACACAGGTCTTGGTAGAAAAAGGTCGTGATCCTCTCTGGATCCTCCATGGCAAGATAGACCATCATAAAGGAGCTGTCAAAGGGCCATTTATCTTGCAAAATACCTCCCTATCTTGCAAAAGGCTGCTATGAGGCAATTTCTCATCCAACTGGTTTCCAGTGACCTCACTCTCATTCAGGTACAGATACCGACTATAAAAATGTTTAGCTATAGCTCAGAGTTGGCTCCTCAACAACAGAGCTATTTCTACTTGTCATCTGTCATCTTGTCCCCTTGGTTCAGTGTCATCCAGGGACATCCCTAAGGACCAGGCATACAGGGAGCTGACTCCATGCTGATGCTGGTTTTGCTCTCTGTGTAAATAATAAACTGTCTCAATCTATTTGGACTCATTGTCTCCCTGCTGGTCAAATCTATAGATGTCTGACAGCCAGCCTAGCAGCTGCAAGTGCCCTTTACTGTAACTTCTTGGTTCTGATTTGACTTAGTAAGTGTAATGGGAGGAACAGGTTTGGGAAAGTGGGGAAAATGAAAGAGTTCTATTCGAAAAGTTAACTTTGAGGTGTTTACAAGATATTTGGATGAAGATGTCAAGTTGGTGATGGGATATATGTCTGCAGCCCAAGAAAGAGATCTAGGTTCAAGTTTGGGAGTCAGTAGGAAAATGGTATTTTAAGTCATTAAACCAGCTGAGTTTACCCCAGGGGAGCACATAGAGAAGCCCAACTAAGTGTTGACATTTAGAAGTTGGGGGTAGTGAAACAGCCAAAAGAAACAGATACAGGAGAAATGCAGGAACCAGAGAATAGTGTCACAGGAGCCAGGAAATCAGAGGGCTCAACAATAGCAAATGCTTTGAAAAGAGGTCCGCTGCTTTAGTTGCATTTGGGGACAGTTACACAAATGAAGGGATGGAAACTGGGGAGTTGGGGATGAGGAATAAAGAACAGCTAATGCAGACAACTTGAAAAGAGCAGAGAAATGGGGTAGCTGGAAGGGGATGTGGAGTTATAGAAGGGTTTTTATTTAAGATACTAGTTTTAGAGTAGGTAGATAGGCAGATATGAACAGGGCAGGACAGGGCCACAAAGAATGTCAGGGCTGGTGACAGGGAGGGGAAAATCTAACGGGAGACATCTTGGGCTCATGGGCAACAACTTCCCAATAAGAATTTAAGATGACAGAGTTTGGCCTTCCTCTGGGGGCATGTCCAGGCATGTGCAGTAAGGGGCAAAATGACGGAGTTTGACGAATATATGACCTTCCCATGGGGCTTGGCAGGGGGACGCTAGCCCAGTAAGGGAAAATTGCCCTAAGAGAGCACGTGCGTAACTTCAACCACCAAAAGGCCCTCCCAGATACTGGCAAACCACTGCACATACAGGGAGGGGAAGAGACAGGGAGAGAAAATAGGAAATAATAAACCTCTAAGAGCCTTAAGACAAAGGTCAGGCTGGGTACTCAATCTTTTGACATCCCCCTTGGTTCCATCCAAGTGTACTTTTTTTGGCTTCAATAAACTCTTGTTTCTGCCTTAAATATACTTCTGTCTCTTGGCTGAATTCTTTCTCCCAAGAAGACAAATATCAAGGACTATGGAGCCTGCCCATACTCACCACTGGTAACACTAGAACTTTTGAAATGATGTATTTTGGGATTATGCCTGCTTTTTTTTTTCAATAGAGAAATATATTTTTCTAGCAGAGGCCAGAGGTTTCATTTAACTATGTAAACATGTCCTAATCATAATTTCTTGAGAATACAGACATCTAAAAAAGATTTTTATTAAACATATAGTGTTTTCCCATCTTCATTTATTTGGTATTTCTGGCTAATTATCTGACAGTAAAGGAGTTTACAAAAGAAATCTGAGATTCCACATTGAAATCCTAAATGTAAAACAACAACAAAAAAAAGGAGAGAAACAGAATCCCTGCATCTGATTCTTGAATCCTTACGAAATATTAAAGGTGAAAATGAAATTAAATTTGGAAAATGATATTAAAATAAATTGTATGAGTATTATTATTTCAAATTTAAAGATTTTTTTTTTCCTCCTACCCAGATAATGTCCTCTGTAGTTCAGAAATCTTATATGAGACCATTAAAAATGAGGGCCTAACTCTGCCCCATGCTACTCAGAGGAACACATACTGTGTGTAAATGCTGTGGTAAGGAGACTACATACTGTATCTCAGTTGATATTCACAGAGACCCTATGAAGGAAGCACTACTTAATCCTTGTTTTTCAAAAGAGGAATCTGAGTTATGTCAAATTACAGGAATGGTTGATAAACCCAAGCAGTATGACTCAGAGCCCACACTCAACACTGTACAATTCTTTCTGGTAGAAATTAGGTCAGTATTGTTTTGAGAGTTTTGGGGGCTTCAGGGGATTTTTTTGCTTAGCTATTAAAAAGAATGTGTCTAACCTGGGTGGGGGCAGTGGCTCATGCCTGTAATCCCAGTATTTGGGAGGCTGAGGTGGGCGGATCACCTGAGGTCGGGAGTTCAAGACCAGCCTGACCAACATGGAGAAACCCCGTCTCTACTAAAAATACAAAATTAGCTGGGCGTGGTGGAGCATGCCTATAATCCCAGCTCCTCGGGAGGCTGAGGCAGGAGAATTGCTTGAACCCGGGAGGCAGAGGTTGCAGTGAGCCGAGATTGTGCCATTGCACTCCAGCCTGGGCAACAAGAGTGAAACTCTGACTCAAAAAAAAAAAAAAAAGAATGTGTCTAACCTAACTTTGATTTAAAAACTTTCAAGATGCCGAAAGTGGTATTATTATAAAAAGGCACTCCGAACTAAGGGGAAATTTCATTGCCACACCTTATTGTGACTGTCTAACCTCAGAAGTTTTGTTTTGAAATGTCACTGTTGAGTTAGCTCAATTGATTGTTCATAGTCACAGTTACAGATTGAACTTATTGTTCTACTATTTTTCCCCCTTCTGACTACTGCACTTGAGTAGTCTGAAAAAAAAAAGAAGTTACTGTCTTGATTTGGGCCTTTCAAGCAGTTATTTCACTGATGCCACTAAGCAGGGCCAAACTGGTTCATCTCTAGTCCCTTGGTAGCCTTCCATCAGCAACAAAATTATGAAACCAGCAACAAAGCTGAAACTACTGCCATCCCAGTTTCTTCACCAGTGCTCCCAGCCCTAAGTTCATTGCTTAAGAGGTAAAGGACAAATAAGTATTTTCATGCAGGTTGAATAGGTTGGATCTGAGGACAACTCATACCAACTAGAAGCCCATTAAATTCCACCCACACTTTCCATAGGGCTCATCTTGGTCACCATCCGAAATAGAAACTCTGATAGTTTCGATCATGGTCCACATAGTAAAATAATAACAATACCTGTTATCTTAACATAATAATATAAGGAATTAAACAAGTGTTAGAGAATTGGGAACATAAAAAGAGCCAGGAGGTATATGGAACCATCTACCACATATACACACACACAAGGTTAATAATAGTTCTCTTCTGGTAGTAAGATTATGGCTAATTTTTCTACAAGGCATATATATTTATTTACATATATAAAAATGTTTTAATGTAAAAACACATACCTAATCCCACCTCCACTAAAACAAATATTGCTACTCATGTTAGAGTCTAACAGTAATACTTTTTACTTTTAAGTCAGTTACTGCATTAGATAGTAGGAACAGAATTCTCTAGAAAATGGTTATATAACCATATGACATATGAGATTTGACCACTGGAGTCGCAGGTTCAAGAAAAGACTGCCAATGATTCTAACACTGGCACCATTCATACACCTCTTTACCTAAAGAGCCCCAGAAAAATCACTTTCCAGAGACAAAGAAGTCCTTAAGGTGTATATGGAAGGTTTCACATCTTAGCTGCAGTACCTTGTGTCAAACACTAATAGTTTTGTTTG